AGCTGATCAGCTGCTCCTGAATGTACCCAGCACTGGGCGTAAACTTAGAGGAGATCGTGCTTTTGCTGTAGCAGTTCCAAAACTGTGGAACAATCATTAGGCAGGCCACGTCCCTAGCTGTTTTTAAGTCACTCCTGAAAACCCACCTCTATAAACTGGCCTTTGACACCATGTTAGATGTTGGTTTTTATTTTTTAGTTGTTTTTAGTTGATTCTGTGCTGTTTTATCTTGTTTTCTTTTTTAATATAGGGCTTTTTTTATTTTTATGTATTTTTGCTGTCTTCTGTTATTGTATTGTTTTTAACTTATTTTCTGTACAGCACTTTGGTCCTGTGCTGGGTATTTTAAAGTGCTTTATAAATAATATTGGATTGGATTGGACTGGAAAACAAGTCCACAAGTGTGAACGTAGCTTAACTCATTCACTGCCAGCCATTGGCAGTGAATGAGTTAAACCCATTGACTCATTCACTGCCATTGACGGCTATAGACGTCAATGGCAGTGAATGAGTTAAGATAGTGTGTAGCCTGGTTTGCCATGTGAATGTAGAGTTTGTAGCAAGATTTTAGTCTTTAATACTAGTCTAAGAGAAACTGCATTCAGTAATTGTAATTGTTCAGTTTGACTGAATGAAAAGTGAAACATCAAATTCAACATTTAAATTCATTTATTGAAACTGATCATTTCATATTGAAATATAAGTGTCAGTATCGAGTGGATCACATTTCTGCCCATACTGAACCCCCCACAAATACCTGCTGACAAATCGAAATATGCAAATATTTGGCTTATTCAAATATTTCCTGAAAGAAAACTCTGACCTTAAGCAAGGATTTTCAGATCTCGTTGGATTTCCTTTTCTTTTCAAGACTGCTTGAAACGACACATCAATGGATCAGGTCTTCTTCTGGATCCTGCTCCTGCTGAGCTTATCTACAAGTTTTTGCAAGTATGTTTGTGTGAACGAGGAAAAGACTCGGGGTGAAAGTTTGAGTTATTGTCGGCAGAACTACACAGACTTGGCCCCGGTTAGTAATAAACAGGATAATGAAAAACTGATGGAGCTCTTTCCCAGTGTCAATGACGGTGTCTGGTTTGGACTGGAAAGGAACCACTCAGACAAAGACAAATGGCTGTGGTCAGGAGGTGGAGCGTTGACCTGGATTTTCTGGAATACAGATCAACCTGACAACCGAAATAATGAAAACAGTGGTTTTTTAAAAAAAAAGGCAGGTGGCATGATGCATATCCAGGTAACACAAGACCCTTTTTCTGCTACAGAGCAATAGTGGTGAAGCAGGAAAAGACTTGGGAGGAAGCTCTGGAGTACTGCAGGGAGCACCACGAGGACCTGGCCAGTGTGGCATCTGAGACCGAGATGCTGCTCATCCAGAAAGAGCTGAACAAACATAACACAAAAGAAGTCGTCTGGATTGGCTTGCGCTTCTTATCTGAGGACTGGCTGTGGGTAGACAGGCAGATGATGGATTACGAGGCCTGGAGTCAAGGGGGAAAGCCACTGTGCCCGAGTACTAAGATGAAGTGTTGTGCCTTACAGGTGACACGAGGGACTAAGGGTGTTTGGGAGGCTCATAATTGTGAGGAGAAACTACAATTTATTTGCTACTGAGCTACTTTATTTCATAAAATACATTTAAATCACAATTTATTTGCTGTGTTTAATACATTTTGGTTATTTTTCTCATCTCTGTCTTTGCATTTTCCCTAATTGATGTGTAATTGTCTCATTTCTATTGTGTGACAAAGTCAGCATTTCATTATTTTACAAGCACTATCTATTATGATTTTTGTTTCATTGAGAAAAGCATGAAAAACAAAAATAAAAAAACATAAAAATAATATGAAATATTTTCCAGATTTTGTTCATAATATTCACCTTTTCTGTACTTTCTTAAACACATTTAAATATTAAAAGACAAAAATAATAAATATTCAGACTCCGGTATGTCACACCAGTAGTTCAGTAGCACTAAACTTTCTATAATTAATTTTAATAAGATTAGATCAGGGTCTGAGGATTCAGGGGACCACTGATTAAATGTTTGGGCATTCTAGTCTGGCATCTTCCTTCATCACCTGATCCACCACACCACCAGCCTCTCTTGACCCAAGTGTCCATGACGTGGCCTCAGGTCTCATAATACAATTACAAAATCAATCACACACCCATATGTCGGCTTGCTTCACTAGGACCGTGGATTCCCCAGTTGGGGAGCTTTTCAGCACCTCACCAGAGACTCCAAAAAAGGTGCATAATCTGTGATGGCACTCAGTTCGTAAGGTGCAGGAAAAACATTATCTCGCCCACTATGGACAAACTCTATGTGCAGCTGGGGGGCTAAAAATAAACTCACTCCTGTGAACCCCCTCACCTGACAGTCCTGTGTCCCTAAATCCAGTTTAAACAGGTACAGATTGAATTGCCTTTGACTACCGCCAAATTCAGAAAGTACCAGACCGCTATGGTGACTGGTGCGTCCACAGGAGAACAGACCCGTACAGTTTGTTAAGGCCGAGCCAAGCCCCATGCATTTAAGATACATTCCCACTAAGCAATATCAAATGAGGCTCCAAGCTTGGCCTTCATGAATGTCAAATCAGCCCAGATGATCCCTCCAGGTAATTTTTCCATGCCAGGGTCTCTCTAATCAAACTGGTTCCGGGTGAGGGTCAGACTAAGAAGTCAGTGTCTGAACCCATGTATTAAAAAAGCGCAGTAAAAAAACAACAACACCCACATGCCTTTAACGTAATGTATCTGTATTGCTTTAATGTTTTTATTTCATTTTTTTCCTCAGGAACAGGTAAGCCATGACAGCATAATGTAAATGATAAGCGTAAACAAAATCTGAGACCCTTTTGCACATCCATAGTAGAACATTCATACAACATACAAGTCTCATCTGTACAAGGGGTCACAGAATCTTTTTTTTTTAAATTTCAATGAAACAACAAGGTAACTCTTGACTCAAAGCCAACAGGTACAATATAGTTTAGATTTTTTTAAATTGTATTTCAACATTTAGTTCTTTAGTTTTTCTTTTCAAATGACATTGATTTAAGTGCACTGTACCTCTTTGCTTTCAATAAAGCGCCACCGTACATTCCTAAAATCATTAACGCTGTAAAAACTGCAAAGCTGTGACAATGAAACATGGAAATTTGTAAGGAAATGAAAGAATAAATAAGAATAAATAAATCAATGACTCTCAAGGGGGGGGGGGACACCTTTGGAGGTCTGACAAGGCTGCAAGTGCAGGGCTTTAGCATCACGATGAGACATGTCTGACTGTATCTACCTCCAGCACTGACGTCTATTTGAAATTTAATGTTTTGGTAATTGAACAGAACTTCATTGTTCTTCTTTGAGATGGGCACAGTGGGACTTTTCAATCTTAAGCAAATACATTTTGGAGACAACAAACGCCTGCCCACCCCCAAAATACTTTTGTCATTGAAAGACATCTCAATGTCTTGCCGTCTTGCAATTATTTAATATCGAACATCCCATAATAACCTGGCTACTCAAGTTGAGCTAGACTGAAAAATGAATGAAACACAAAACAAATGGAAACTGAGAAGCAGCATGCAGCAAGTTAGCATAGACATATGAATCTTTGGCAAAATTATAACTGTAACTGTCACGGATGCATAAAAGCTGTTTTCATATTGCATTCGAGGTTGGCCTCCTCCTTTTTTTCTCACACATTTAAATGTAACAGCTTCGATATGTTTGCCTTCCAAATGTAAGGAAGCACACTCAGATATTTCTGTCTACACATTTCAGACCTGTCTCCTTTGCGCCCCACCTCGTTTGGGAAGAAGAAGAAAAAAAAAACAGGCAGAAAAAAAGAGTAATACATGACAAGGTGAAAACAAACATATACATGTACAAAGTAATGTACACCATATATTCAAACGCATTTCAAAATCGCCAGACTTTGAAATCATTAGCCAAAATAAGTATATATCTTTTTTTTTCTCACCCTATTAGGTAATCTTCTTTATCTAGACTGTACAATATATGTATATATGAGTAATCATGAGGGACCAAAGCAACAAAAATAAATACTTTTTTTCGCTATGTCACCTTTCAAAGTAGTATCTATGTACATTTATATCAATATCAATTTTTTTTTCCTTAGCTTATTGTGAATGGTTGAGCGTGTGTTCAACAAGCAGGCATTGCGCACAGTGTGGAAACTTCTCATGTGTTTTTTTTTCTTTGTTTTTAACACTAAATGGTATCCAGATGTAAATTTTGACAACACCGTGGAACATAAAACTGTCCTTGATACAGCGAAAGGTAACCCTGGCCCAAATGGACTGAAAACTAAATGAAAATAAAGGTAAAAACATAGCATCTCACCATCATGTGACTACTTCAACAGTGGGTTGTTCTACTTCCTTTTTTTGTTTGTTTCGTAGGACTCTGAGAAGAGTACAAAAAAAGTTTCTATTTCATGCAGTCTTTGACAAGTCATACGACGTCAGTGTACTCGTCTAAAGGTTTTTAGTTTTAAGCACATGGCATAGAATGATTTCAGTGATGTTGGATGTCACTATGGGGGGGGTGCATTTTGGGACAACAACATGCATAAAGAACAGTGCATAGGTCCAGGTCATTGGGCCAGTCCCTGGTGATTTCCAGTGTGTTTCAGTGGCAGCGTCTATCAACAGGTCCACTACTGCAAGCAGTTGGTGATGACGAAGTCTGTGTGACTCTGGGAGGAAAGAGTCTTGGCCTGAATCAGCGGCTCCACCTTCTAGATAAAACAATCCCTCTGTCTGGCATGCAATTGCGAGCTTGCCGATATCAGGTGGATAATCCAAGAAGCAAGGTTTTTTTGTGTTTTTAGAGAGAGAAATCAGGCTCGGACTGGATGCTGAGGTGATGCAAAAGTGGCTGCACTGACACAAAGTTCGGTGACCTTAGCGTGGCATTGTTTTATTGTCCTTTTTTTCCCTCCCCTTTTCTTTTTTTTGTTAAGTCTGGTCTGTTATGTGCAGTTTAGATCAGTCGTTTCACTGCAGAGCCCTTTCCGACACATAACAGACCTGGAACTGGCCACTCTAAGGATTTCACAATGACTTTTGTGGAAGGTAGAAGAGTCAAGCTTAAAGATCAAGCTAACATGCATAATGTCTTCAGACAGTTTTGCTAAAAGCCATCAAGGCCAACATTTTTTTTTTTACTCCTGAAGATGAGTTCAAGAAAACAGATTTCTTTTTTTTTCAATGTTTCATCTTTTAAAAGGAGGAAATAATAATGGCTTAACAGCTACATCATTCTCGCACTTGTATTGCAGCTACCTTTGGTAAATCAATCGACAAGAACAACAGAAAACCCTGAAACATCCACTTCCTTTTATGTTCCCTGACTAGACTTTGCATTTTTCTTTTAGTCTTTAGCTAAGTTCTCCAAGCACAGGTTACCCTGTCGATAAATCTTCTCCCTCCAATGGCTTCCATGTTTGTCACATGCATAGCTCCGCATCACACATCCTCTAGCTCCAGTTTCGATCCACACCAAAGCCTTCAAACAGAGACTACTTCAATTAGATCAAAACAAACCAGCAAGGCAGAGAGGAAAAAACAGAGAAGGAAAACAAAAACCCAACATAAAACAGAAGGAAAGGACTCCATCCAGCCCTGGCAAAGAGGACACCAACAATGAGGGAAGATTGCAAAACAGCCACTGCCATTTGAACGTTAAGGGTTTCATCGCTTCATCATTTTAGAGACGAAGCCGACGATGGCGGAGGCGGGCTGATCTGGGTCCAGCTCAGCAAACAGGTGGCTGACATTGTCTGTTGTGCTTCCTTGTTTCCTTGCCACAAATCCAAAAAGCCTGAAAGCAAGAAAAACATATATTATACTTAAACAAAGGCAAATGACTCTGTTATAACAAGTCATTAGTCAGCAAGCAGTTTGACAGTCTACTTGTTACAAAAGTACTGTGCCAAAGTTAAAAACAAACAAACATGAATGCCTTTCATAACAAAAATATTCCAGTGTGCTTCAGTGACAGTGTCTATCAACAGGTCCAAATATAATTACGGTGACCTTGAACAACTTCAAATTCATGCTGGGGCAAGCATCAAAAAAACATTTTGCTTTTGAAACTTTGGCAGTTGATATCCTCAGTTGCTAAATGCTTGCTAGGTGTGTTAAAAGAAGAGCCGAGGCTTTTCTGAGACATTTTGATTGCATTAAACCAATGATGTCATCTATTTTTCACTAAACAATCAAATTTCTCAGTTTCACCCTTGGATATGTTGAGTTTGTGTTAAAAATTTCTGTTAAATTTAAAGTTTGATGTGTCTCAACCTTTTTGCCAGATAAGGTTAAATACTGTAGCTATTGGACATCTGGAAAAGGAAACCAAACAATATTTTTTTAAGTGGTTAGTGAAATGAATTCAGTTGTTTATGACGTTCAGTACACAGATAACTCCTTATACACATTTATCTTTAAAGCATGCAAACTTACCTCACTGAGCCGCCTCCTTCTTTGCCCCATCTAAAGAAAAGAAAATAAATCAAATACAAAATACAATAAAAAATGTAATTTTGAATTAAGTAATTACACTAATCATATATATATATATATATATTAGGGGTGCAACGATATTCGTATCGATATTGAACCGTTCGATACAGTGCTTTCGGTTCGGTACGCATATGTATCGAACAATACAATT